GAAATTTTAAAAAAAATGGAATGTATTCTTGCACAAATCAGAAGCTAAGTGCAATTCAGTAAGTTCAGTAAAATCAAAACAATTCTTTTCAATTCAAGCATGCAGCTGTTGCTGTTATCCAGAGCAAATTTACATTCAGTGCAAAAGTATAATAAGAAAAGTGATATGACTGCAGAGAAACTTGCATTCTGCAGACATAAAGAAGGATTTCGAAAAGCATTTATCATTCGGTGTTATGAAATTGTTCACTGAAATGTTAATATTACTTCATAATTTTCAGCATACACACAGTCCTGTGTTTGACTTGGGAAAGCATGTTCCAGAAATGACGAATGCAACCATAATGGGAACAACGTGCTGGCCCTTTAATTCCATTCATGTGAGAGGAGATGGAGGCAAGGTCTCATTTCTTAGACAATCAACTCCCTCAGACTGCAAAAAAAAAGAAACCATGACATCTCAAACCTTACCGCTGAGAACGCACCATTTTATTGTCATACATGCACACAGACAACACAAACATCCTGAACACATGGTGCAAAACACAGCACGGAGGATCAAGTGGACAAGCAGGGGGTGCTGTTAGAGAAACTCACAGCCGGAGAATACATATCCGCCGGTGATGTATGTCGTCTCCCCCCCGCCTCCTCTCCCTCCTGTGGTACGTCCCAGATAGATGTCAGAGGCATTTAAATGAGGAGGATCAGCTCCAGAGGTAGCTAGTGCAGCGACAGCTGGCCTGAACCAGGACGCACACGAGCAGAGGAGGGGGGGGGCAGACACTGGGATATGAGGGGCAGTTCATGGATCTGCTGGACCAGCTCTTTGTATGTATGACAGGGACAGATTAATGGAATAGAGGGCATGACTCTTTGACTCTGTGAATGTGTTTATGTGACGCGTATGTGTGTTTTAGCCAGTTTTGTCATTTGACTTGAGTGTCTCAAGTGTTTCTTTCTTGTTTCTCTCTATATTCTATCACATTTAACCCACCTTGAAAGGACAGCAGACGCCATCCTGGGCCATTTGCTGTATGGCATGCTCCATCAATCTGCCAGGACGGCCTCTCTCTCCCTCTCTCTCTGTCTCTCTCTCCTCTCTCAGCCCAGCTAGGTGCTGGTTAACAAAGGCTCTGAGAGACAGGTACGCTCCACTACCCTCATCCTGTGCAAAAGCACAAATAACATTCTCCCCTCTTCCTCTCTGACCCTCCCCCTTTTTTCCTTTCACTGTCTCACACTCACTGCCACTCTCCTCTTCCTGTCCCTTGATGGCTTTGTGTAGTAGCCCTGAGCAGTGCTGTCTTGAGTGTGATGAGGAGAATGTTTGTCGATTGATTGTCCCACAAACTAGCTTTCTCATGTGTTTTGGAGATGGTACAAAAGTGCGTGAGAAGCAGAGCAGGTTGATAAATTGTGCTGACTATGCTGGCAACTGTGGGATCTGATCGAAAGGGTTCTTTTCAAGACTTGTGAGCATCCTGCATTCATATTTATAGCATTTCTTCTTTATGATTCAAGCGAGGAAAGAGGTTTCTACAAGAATACCAACATCAGCCTGCAGACATGCAGTTGCAGAGACTATAAACCATCTCTGGCCATAGAAAGCGTTTGATTACACATCTCGAGAAATGTCAGCTTTTATGCAGAGCCAGTGAGAGATGATGCTGGAGGAGTAAGCATCCTCAAGAGGAGCAGAGGAGCCGTTAGACCCCGGTGCATTCTGCCTGCCATGCGTTTGTGTTTATCTTTTGGATGTGAGAATCCCAATATGTGGCCAGAATTAATTGTTGAGCTGAACTTTTCTTGTTTTTTTAGTATTTTAACTTCAACAGTGCTTTAGTACAGACGTAACTGTATTCAAAGCACAAAGTATCAAAACTCTTAAACACTGATACTCGCTTCGAATGTCTGGTTGTGATATTGTTTCTATACAGTTCCTAAATTAAATCGTATTCAGTTGTAGTCTGTTTCATTTAGGCAACATTCTTGCACTGCTGCTTGTGATTAGATAATATGTAACACAACTGTTATGATTTTGGTATCTGTACTGGAACTAAGGTGGTGTATCAGCGTGACAATCTTGCTGAACACTTCAAAATGAATGTCCAGTATTGCATTGTTTATATTTGCACGGTTTTCCTGCGTTCTCAGCAGGACTTGCACATATGAGCTGTGAGTAAGCCTGGCTTTCGCTGTGAGACATTTGCTAGAGAGGTTGTGAGTCACTGGCATTTCTTGTGGGCTGAATACCAAATCTGCATAGTCAATGGAAGCAGGTAATAAGTGGCTGATGATGCATGGCCTGCCCGATGGGGAAAAAAAGAGAGAGGAGAGAGTAAAAGAAAGGGAATCTCTTGATATTAAAGTATAATCATCTGGATTTGTATGCATTTTATTTCATTCAGGGCAGGGATTATTTTCTGTCTTTGAGAAGTTAGGACACGTTAAAAAAAGCAGCACCTCAGATGAAGTTCCAAAGGATGTCTCTTGACCCCTGATCTCTTGCTCCCCTCTGGCCTATAGGCTTCTGATGACTTTCCACTCGTGATTCCATCCCTGAGGACCTTTTATACCGCACCATGTGGTTTGAGTCAGACTGAATGTACGACTCTCTGTACTCTACTATATTGCTTTTGAAATATGCATGCAGTTGAAGTTGCTCGGCAAGCTGACACTATTCAACCTCGATTTGAGGCTCAGCTGCAACATGGAACGATGAGCCGTTGAAGATGGTGTGTTGCATTGTCTTTGTTTCAGCATGTTTTTGTATTATATACCTGGTAGTGTGTGGATACTCTGTTTTGCTCATGTTGTGTCACAGTAAGCCCTCATGCTGCTTTCCACCTGCTCCTGTTAGATAAAAAAAAATGTCAGCCAACTAGATTATGTAGTATATGTTTAAGTGAAACATGGCTGTTATTAATTTCTGAGTGGTTTGCTCTCCAACTGTGGGGGGATGAGTTGTTACGTAACCGTAGATGCTACTGATCCAAATATAGCAGCCATTAGGGGATTAGCTCCAGGCCCGGTAGGCTTGACTAGGCTCAGCTTCACTGTGGCCCAGCATGGATGTCCTTGCCGCTGGTCGTCTCCTGCCTTCCACACCAGTGTCCACTGTTATCACAACAAACTGATAGGCCGCAAACCGACGGCAGAGATAACGTGTTAGCTGGCCATCACATTATACAGACGTGCTCACCAGAGGGACATCGATCTGTGGCTTGACTTTGTGACTGAGACTGGAGGACAGTTTGGCCTCACAGCATGGGTTTCTCATTTTTCTTGATTCAAGCTCGCTTTGGATAGAGGAAAGTTACTTAGTAATATTTTGATGGTATTATTTCTTAAATGATTTACCAAATGTGTCCAGGAGAGGTTTTTCCATAATGTTTGCTGACAACGTTTGTTCTTTTGCATTTAAATTTGGACTTGGGCTATAACTAAAGACTATTCACTATTGAATAGACTGCGACTATTTGTCTGTAAAATGCCCATCCATTATACAGTATTTCCTAACACCCTACAAGAAGTCTCCAAATGTCTTGTTCTGTCTTGCTGGCAGTACAAATCCCCAAAATATTAGATTTACAATGAAAAAGCAGCAAATCCTCACAATGAGTAGCTGCAACCAGGAATGTTCTGTAAAAAAATTTGTTGTATATTCAATTGTCAAAATAGTTGCTGATTAATTTCGGTCAATTAACACATCAATCATTTCAGTACTAAATTCAAATTGAAATAATATTGAAAAATACAACTTTTAAAGCCGCCAGTTTGCATTCCTTGTAATCACTATGATGACAACTGAAGCACTGTCTTAATCTATGTTCATACTGTTAGATGATACAAGCAATTAGTTTCTGCAACCCTTCATAGAATTTTCCTTCTCCAAAAAAGTTTGAATTACTATTATTATTAATGTTTTCCAAATATGTACTTAAATGTACCATATACAATTTAGAGAGTGAAATTATTTTCAAACTAACTCACCGATTTAGTTATTTAATTTTCAATAAGATACTGAATGTCCTCAACAGGTTTTCTCATTTGGTTAAAATTGTCCTCCTTTGATTGTTTAGATAGAGGTGAACTCTTTGCACGTTAAATTGCATTGTTATTTCTACATCATCATTCTACCATTCATTTTAACTTACTGAGTGTTGAAGCTCGGGTCAAAAGGGTCAAAAGGACCACATAATTTCAGTCCGAGATACTTAGCGCGTTGAGTGGGATGTGTTGATTGCACAGTGTTAAGCAGAAGGTGACAAACACGTGGTGAGTTGTGGTCTGCCCAATAATTATGCCATCACCTCTTTTTCCCATTATACCTAACGTTCTGTCTGCCTCACCAAGTGGTTTTATATCTTTTAATGATGCATCTTGTTGAGTCCTAATTGGCCTAGTTAATTGGCCTCTCTGGTCTCCTTTTCTGTCCCCAAAGAGCAGACAGACTCAGACATGCTGTGTTAAATAAATCTAACTCTTAATTTAGACAGTGCAATGCAGATTTAGTAGAAAGACAACACAGACTGCAGGTATCATACAGTATACCCTCTGTGACCTTCTTGTGGTCTATAAATACTGCCAGACAACAGGCCCACTGATACACACACAGGATCAAATATTTAGTAGGATGATGAATATTTCAGTGGCAGGTGCGTAGTTTCAAGGGAAAGATTAATATCATTGCAGGCAGACTGCTAAATATACACCCGGGGTGGTTGAGACACAGGAGTGAAGGCATTGTCTCTCATTACTGTTTCTGTTCCTCACAGAGGAATGCCTAAAGTCTCTGCTTTCCTCATCACTCCACTCACAGCTGTCCTTGTCAAAAGTGTTTGTTTTTTTCAGTGGCCATCCCCCTTCGTTTTCCCTTCTTGCCTTTCCATGACAACTGGGTTTGTATAAAAACATGAGTTTTGCAATGGCAACAATGGAGTGTATTAGCCGGTGTATGTGCTGATGGGCTCTCCACCTGAATGGTCCATTGTGTCTTGAGGCACAAACAGCCGCTGAGCTCAGACCTCCACTGTTGTGGAAAGGCCCACTGACGGAGGAATAACTAGCTTCTGCAGAGTGTTTTGCTCACTGTGAATTACTTCAACGTTGAAGGAATGAAGAATGATAAAGAAAGAGTTCTCTCCATGCTGGGTAAAATTAGAATATTTATTCTTTTTTAGAAAGGTTGATAAGCGCATTGACAGTTAATTGGATACAGCTGTTGCAAGCAGAACGGATTCATCATCTTTCTGAACTGCTGAACTGAAATCAGTTGCTGTGTGTGTCATTAGAGTAACTGAAATGAGTAGTTACTTGTCTGACTACTCTCATTAGAAGACACTGAGGCCTTAATGTGCCGTTCATCTTTTCTTAAGTCTCAAAATAAAGCTTGGATTAATATGAATTCTTCACTACTTCCAAAGATGCATAGTTTTCTACCCCTCATTTTAAGATCTCTTTCCCTCCTACTCCCCTTCTTTATCTCCAGTTGATCTCCGTGGTGCCCGCCACCTCCTCACTTCCCAGCATTCCTTGCCTGGGATCCCCGTAGCCTTGAAACAATCCATTGACCTGCGTACATCCATGGATGGGAAGTACAAGGAGATTGCTGAGGTTAGTGCTCAGTGATTGTGCTCCATTATTAACTTTATTAAGATTTATTTGTATTTTAAACATACTTGTGGCTAGATGTGTAGACATTCAAAATGTTGTTTGTATGCGTGTCTGTGTGAAGGAGCTGTTCTCTCGCACCCTGGCAGAGAGTGAGATGCGCAGCGCCCCCTATGAATTCCCAGAGGACAGCCCCATTGAACAGCTGGAGGAGAGACGTCATCGCCTTGAGCGACAGATCAGCCAGGATGTCAAGTAAATGCGGAGAAAGGAAGATTATTAGTTAATTTACAAACACATGGTTTGTTCAGATGATCCAGAGTCTAACACTGATTATCCCCAAGTGAGCTCAGCCTTTTGTTTTCAGATTTGAACCCGACATCCTCCTGCGAGCCAAACAGGAGTTCATGAAAACTGACAGTGCCACAGATCTCGAGTGAGTGTTTCCCCTGGTTATATGCAAAAGTGATCTCTTCATCCATAGAATGTGTTTCACTATCTACCAGAATAGAAAATAATTTAAGGCCTATGTTTGTTGATCTATCATTAGATACATGAAGGAGCAGAGCTATTTCCCTGACTTGCAGGATAGAGAACTAGTTCCAGAGAAAGAGTACCAGCGGGTCAGTATTTCTGGAGAGGAGAAATGCGGGGTAAGTCAGAGTCACTGCAGTAATGCACGGAGAATTAGAAAAGACAGTAGAAGTATTTCTTAGTAGAATGTTTTGTGTGTTGTTTCTCACAATTAAATAACACATCCACCCTCAAAAAGACACCTTCCTTTTTCTTTGCTTCTCATTCCTTTCCATTTTATTGTTCTTCCGTCAGGTCCCCTTCACAGATCTGTTGGATGCTGCCAAATGTGTGGTGAAGGCTCTGTTCATTAGACAGAAGTACATGGGTCTGTCGCTGCAGAGTTTCTGCAGGACCACCGCTCGTTACCTGCAGGAGCTGAGTGAGAGGCCTCTTCTGGACTTTGATATCTGTGAGGAAGAGTTACCAGAGACCACAGCCACTGCAGGTATATACACATCTACAGCCCACACTAACATCCTCATACTCTCCAACAATTATGATAATTTATTCATCCTAAAGTATTTAAGTAATTTGGTTATATAATATGAGATTTTCTGCTCTTCTTGGTTTTCTGTCATTGTAAATTGAATATCTTTGGGTTTCTGAGTATTTGACAAAACAAATTTGGGCTGGAATCTTTTGATGTGCATTTTTTTTTACTATTATTTGACATTTTATAAAAAGAAAAAATAATTTAATCAACTTGTGAAGCCCAAAATCACAAATCACAAATTTGCCTCAAAGAATTTTACAATCTGTACAGCAACCTCTATCCTTAATTCAGATATATATATATATTCTTTTCTTCCTGTATTCCTGTTAAAGTTTTTTTTGCTATTTTATCTTTATCCAAATTGATATATATATATATATATATATAAATAATTAATATTCTTCTTATTATTATATATCTATATATATATAACTAATAATAAGAATAGTGATTATTTGTAGCTCTATTCCAGATTACTCTCTGACCTTACTAAAATAATTTGTAATCTAATGTTAATATGGAAATATAACTCATGTTCAGTGTCATGTGCGGTACTCTCACATTAAGACATAACCGGGCACACCCCCATATTTCACAATCCATCTGTCACACACCCCTGAACAGGCTGTTACAACGTGCAAGCTGTTAATATCAGACCATAGTCCCACCTCGCTCAAAGCAGTGACACAGTGCCACATTCTGTCTCCTCTCAGATGCCACAGTGCACCCACCTGTTTCTAAAACGCACCCCTATGACAACCAGGACCCCGCTAGCATGCCCCCTGACATGGGTTACAGCTGCAAGATGGTGGATGGTGTCATGCATGTGTACACGACAAGGAACATTATGGAAAAGTGAGATATTTATGACAAATCACTCAATACATGCATGTTTAATCTTGTAGTCCTCTGTGTGGTAGGAGGCTTGTCGGTTTTTAGATTCAGTTCACACATCGTATTGGCTGCGGTGAGTTTTCTGGTTAAGATTTAATGTTGCTCACAGAAGCACAGAGCTGGACCTGCCATATCCAGACCTGCAGGAGTACATCGCTGATATGAACGTCATGATGGCCCTCATTATCAATGGACCCGTGTAAGTTTTCCTTATTTTTGAATACAAAACAGTGTGTATATCATGCATTATTGATTTTATTTAATTATAAGACTACCCCCAGACCTTCTTGTCTCTTTCCTTTTTAAACCATCTGCTTCACTTTGTCACAGAAAGTCCTTCTGCTACCGTCGTCTGCAGTATCTTAGCTCCAAGTTCCAGATGCATATCCTGCTGAATGAGATGAAAGAGCTGGCAGCACAGAAGAAAGTCCCACATCGAGACTTCTACAATATCCGTAAGGTGAATTTGAGAGCTTCCACTAATCCTTATCACATTTATTTTTTTGTAATCCAAAAGCAGACTTCAATATATAATTTTTTTGTTTTGTTTGTCTGAATCATTTTACAGGTGGACACACACATTCACGCGTCCTCCTGTATGAACCAGAAGCACCTTCTGCGTTTTATCAAAAGGGCCATGAAGAAGTATCCTAAAGAGATCGTTCATGTGGAAAGAGGCAGGGGTCAGACGCTCATGGAGGTGTTTGAGAGCATGAACCTGACAGCCTTTGACCTGAGCGTGGACACCCTGGACATGCACGCAGTAAGTAACGCCCATAGAGGATAGGTAAAAAGCTAATCCGTTCAAAAGTGCTGCCTGGTTAAAAGATGCACCGCAATGTTGAAATGACAAATAGTGATTCAATCAAACAGCAGCATCAGTTAAGAGATTGTTTGAATCACAGTGACACGGTCTTTCCACTCTTTTTGCAGGACCGTAACACTTTCCACCGGTTTGACAAGTTCAATGCCAAATACAATCCCATTGGCGAGTCCATCCTGAGAGAGATCTTCATCAAAACAGACAACTACATTGAGGGGAAATACTTTGGTCACATTATTAAGGTGCTCACTAGTAGCTGAAACGCTGTCATTGCCGCTGACACCTGCAGAATGACTGTGTGAGGCGGTGATGCCCTCTGCTGACTGTTTGTGTCACTGCTTCTCAGGAGGTGATGGCTGACCTGGAGGAGAGCAAGTACCAGAACGTGGAGCTCAGGCTGTCGATCTACGGGCGCTCAAGAGACGAGTGGGACAAACTGGCCAAGTGGGCTGTCAAACATAGGGTCTACTCCAATAATGTGCGCTGGCTTGTGCAAGTGCCACGACTCTTGTGAGTAACCCCAGCGGTGGGAAATATGAAAGTATATTTAATCAAGCACTTAGATATTTCAAATTTATGTCACTTTATACAGTCCTCTATGAAATATTGTACAATTTACTACACTATTTATTTGACAACTATAGTCAGTTGTTACTTTACATGTTTCAATTATATGTTATCCCCAGCTCGTTGAAGAGCATAACAAAGAGGGAGGTCCACACAGAAAACAGTTTAAATGAACAAAAGGATTTATTAAAGATAACTCAACTTACAATTAAACTCAAACTCAACATACTCAAAAACAAGGCACCCGCCTTCCAGGGAGATCAGGAGGAAGATAGAGCCATTTTGGGTTCACCATGGTTTTTAAAGACTTAAACAGGTAGCCGCAATCACTGACGGGGTGGTTGTGTCCGACCGAACAGGAAGAAAGACCTGAAAACACACAAGAGAAGAGAGCAGGCCAACGCCATGCAGTCCTAAGGCCCCAGGCCGTCACACATACAAAACATGTGATTCACATGCAATATACAGTGGGTACGGAAAGTATTCAGACCCCTTTAAATTTTTCACTCTTTGTTTCATTGCAGCCATTTTCCAAAAATCTAAAAAGTTCATTTTATTTCTCAGTAATGTACACTCAGCACCCCATCTTGACAGAAAAAAACAGAAATGTAGAAATTTTTGCAAATTTATTAAAAAAGAAAAACTGAAATATCACATGGTCATAAGTATTCAGACCCTTTGCTCAGTATTTAGTAGAAGCACCCTTTTGATCTAATACAGCCATGAGTCGTTTTGGGAAAGATGCAACAAGTTTTTCACATCTGGATTTGGGTATCCTCTGCCATTCCTCCTTGCAGATCCTCTCCAGTTCTGTCAGGTTGGATGGTAAACGTTGGTGGACAGCCATTTTCAGGTCTCTCCAGAGATGCTCAATTGGGTTTAAGTCAGGGCTCTGGCTGGGCCATTCAAGAACAGCCACGGAGTTGTTGTGAAGCCACTCCTTCGTTATTTTAGCGGTGTGCTTAGGGTCATTGTCTTGTTGGAAGGTAAACCTTCGGCCCAGTCTGAGGTCCAGAGCACTCTGGAAAAGGTTTTCGTCCAGGATATCCCTGTACTTGGCCGCATTCATCTTTCCCTCGATTGCAACCAAAACCCCCCCACAGCATGATGCTGCCACCACCATGCTTCACTGTTGAGACTGTATTGGACAGGTGATGAGCAGTGCCTGGTTTTCTCCACACATACCGCTTAGAATTAAGGCCAAAAAGTTCTATCTTGGTCTCATCAGACCAGAGGATCTTATTTATCACCATCTTGGAGTCCTTCAGGTGTTTTTTAGCAAACTCCATGCGGGCTTTCATGTGTCTTGCACTGAGGAGAGGCTTCCGTCGGGCCACTCTGCCAAAAAGCCCCGACTGGTGGATTGCTGCAGTGATGGTTGACTTACTACAACTTTCTCCCATCTCCCGACTGCATCTCTGGAGCTCAGCCACAGTGACCTTTGGGTTCTTCTTTACCTCTCTCACCAAGGCTCTTCTCCCCCGATAGCTCAGTTTGGCCGGACGGCCAGCTCTAGGAAGGGTTCTGGTCGTCCCAAACGTCTTCCATTTGAGGATTATGGAGGCCACTGTGCTCTTAGGAACCTTAAGTGCAGCAGAATTTTTTTGTAACCTTGGCCAGATCTGTGCCTTGCCACAATTCTGTCTCTGAGCTCTTCAGGCAGTTCCTTTGACCTCATGATTCTCATTTGCTCTGACATGCACTGTGAGCTGTAAGGTCTTATATAGACAGGTGTGTGGCTTTCCTAATCAAGTCCAATCAGTATAATCAAACACAGCTGGACTCAAATGAAGGTGTAGAACCATCTCAAGGATGATCAGAAGAAATAGACAGCACCTGAGTTAAATATGAGTGTCACGGCAAAGGGTCTGAATACTTATGACCATGTGATATTTCAGTTTTTCTTTTTTAATAAATTTGCAAAAATTTCTACATTTCTGTTTTTTTCTGTCAAGATGGGGTGCTGAGTGTACATTACTGAGAAATAAAATGAACTTTTTTGATTTTTGGAAAATGGCTGCAATGAAACAAAGAGTGAAAAATTTAAAGGGGTCTGAATACTTTCCGTACCCACTGTATGATGATTTGTTGTAAAATAAGCTACCCAGTTAGTCAGTTAGTCAGTAAGTAACAGGCTTGCATAGGAAACAGGCCTGTAACCTTTGTAAAGACACTTTTCCTAATAATTATATACGTAGAAATAATGATAATTAATACTTAATACAGATTTTTGCTTATTATACATGTGTACAATGCATGACTTTATTTGCTTGTTTTTATAGCGATATTTCTACTTTCACCTAAATAAATAGATCAGACTACTTTTCCACCAGTGAGTAGCACTTATTGAGTTATACAGCCACATCATTCCACGCCAAGCGTCTTTAAAATATCTGCAGGGTACATGAGTAAAACAAGACCAGGAAAGGTAACATTTCATCCTTGCAACCATAATCGCACAACTGACTTTCCTGATTTGCATTTTTCTCTCAAAGTGACGTCTACCACACGAAGAAACAGCTGTGCAACTTTCAAGAGATGCTGGAGAATATCTTCACGCCTCTGTTCGAGGTTACAGTCAATCCCGGCAGCCACCCGGAGCTGCACCTCTTCCTTCAGCATGTATGAAGTCTCTGCTGTGGAATCATGAATATATATTATTCAATGTAGCCAGACCTCAGAGGGTTTCATGGATCTCGTGTTGGTCCCTCACACAGGTCGTGGGGTTTGACAGCGTGGATGACGAGTCAAAACCAGAGCAACATATCTTCAACTTGGACAGCCCGCTGCCAGTCAACTGGACTGAGGAGGACAACCCGCCCTATTCCTACTACCTCTACTATATGTATGCAAACATGACTGTGCTGAATCACCTGCGCAAGTACGTGACTACACCTTAGTCCAAGTGGCTGCCATAATATGTTTTTGTTAATGTCATCACTCACTGATTTTATGTTTTAGGTGCCCACAGCAAGTACACTAAGAGACTTTTCTTAACTCTCATAGATTTCTCAGCTTCAATTTAGATATTAATTAAGATCAATAGGAAGTATAAAGGGTTGGGTAGAAATATGCATCTCTCATGCTTTCACAATTATGATAAAAGAAAAATATAGAAGAAAATAGTTTTGCCCCAACCTAGAGGTTTCATTGTCACATAATACGATGCCTGTTGACCTAATTAATATTAGTAACACTAACATTTTAAATAAAACACAATTTTCGTTTTTTTATACCAAAATTGCAGTTTATCTTCCTGAACTGATTTGATAGCAAATTGTCCCACTTCACCTCAATTAAATCAGAATTCAAAAACCTTCTTAACAGTTTGTGCGTGTTTGTATGCACTTTTGAAGTATTGCTTCCAAATTAGCTCCATGTTACTATAGCACAAAGGGTAACAAACCAGAAAATACATTCTTATGCTTATGGGTTCATGGCTGTCCTCATCTGTCTCATCTTTGAGTCACTGGAGAACAGTGATGAATGTTCATTTATGCAGACTATACTTTGCCCGATTGTTTAAACAACACTGTTGAAGTCATCCTCCTAGTATTCTAGTATATCCTAGTGTCTTCTTTGTTCCAGGCAGCGAGGGTTTCACACGCTCGTCCTACGTCCTCATTGTGGGGAGGCGGGGCCGATCCATCACCTGGTGTCTGGTTTCATGTTGTCTGAGAACATCTCCCACGGGCTGCTGCTCAGGAAGGTGTGACCTCAATATCACAATTAAATTAATAAAAAACACAATTAATAAAAAAAATGCCAGTCCTTGGCTAATCCGCAGTATTAATTTACTCCTAGAGCAGTGATTGTTTAGTACAACATTATGCCTTATGTTCCTCCAGGCTCCTGTGCTGCAGTATGTGTACTACCTGGCCCAGATAGGTATCGCCATGTCCCCTCTCAGCAATAACAGCCTGTTCCTCAGCTACCATCGTAACCCTCTGCCTGAGTACCTGTCCAGAGGCCTCATGGTCTCTCTGTCAACAGACGACCCTCTGCAGTTTCACTTCACCAAGGTCAGTGTACACAGCCAGTCAAACAATTGTAACAGCCTGCATTTTAGAGTTTAATAGTTAAGCCTCTTAAATTGTTTGAATGGGGAATATGGTAGAAGCAAAATGCTATAAGAATGGTACTGGAATAGAAAGGAATACATATGCATGAAGTAAGAGAAAGTTTGACCTTGTATTTCATCATAAATGGTTTTGATTGAAACAGAAATGCTCTACATCTTGACCACTCTAATTAGGCTCATGAAGCTGACAAACATGTGGAATAACTGTGTTGTAATTGCTGTTTGTCGACATGATTAACACAGCTTAATTGGCTGACTTCTTCTGCCCACCTGTCTTCAATAAAGAATGAATTAGACACTTAATAGGTCCTTAAACAAGAAGGCAAACTGGATAGTCTGCTTTTCCTGCGTCGAATTGAATGTGTGTGTTCACACACAAGGAATTCACAGGAAGTTACGCATGCATGCGCTGGACTAAAGCTGGTGAATGCGCACAGAACTCTGGGACTTGTATTACTAAAATGCACTTGCTGTTACCTCCATGTGTTGCCAAATCAACCAATTTAATCGATAAAAAGTTAATAATAATAATTAAAAAACAGTAGTATATGTAGACTGTTCAGTTGCAAGACAAATTTTAAATATTTAATATATAAAATAACATTTCTTCAACAAGCAGTGCATGTTTAATTGTGATATTTCTTTTGTGCTCTGTGCAGGAGCCCTTGATGGAAGAGTACAGCATTGCTGCTCAGGTGTGGAAGCTGAGCTCCTGTGACATGTGCGAGCTGGCCAGAAACAGTGTGCTGATGAGCGGATTCTCTCATAAGGTTATCTTTAAAGCAGAGTACACATTATCCAATTTTACTGTCTACAACCATACCGCTCCCTTCTCTGTCTGTCTGTTCTTCAGACAGTTTGATTTGACTCTTGACTCTTCTTCTGGATCAGGTAAAGAGGTCCTGGCTTGGCCCAAACTACATCAAAGAGGGGCAGGAGAGTAATGACATCAGGCGCACCAACGTTCCTGACATCCGTGTGGCGTACCGGTATGAGACCATGTGTGAGGAGTTAAATTTAATCACACAGGCCATCCGCACAGATGAGCTGGAGACCATCGAGGAGGAGGGGAGTCTGTGTATGGGAGCTGTGCAGGGAGAGAAGTGAACATGAGGCACAATACAAAATAAATTCTTGCTACATTCCCTGTTTTCATATCAGGACATTGTACAGATTTGCATATCAACATATCACACCTGTGAAATAGATAAGCTTTGTTGCTACTGTGGCAATATGAGCGTGGATCTACAATCCGTGTACCCAAGGTGTTTCCTTCCTTTAGTTTCATCAAGTCATTCTTTGTTTAATTTATCATGGCGATTTCACAATGTCTCTTGATCTATTTATTTTTAAATTATATGTTCATGGTTTGTGGCTACATCTTGTCAGAGTTTCTGTTCAAAGTCTGTATTTTTCCTGTACCAAGCACTGAGTACTATTAACATTCAAGATTCAACCCGTTAATAAAACGTATAGACTGGATCCAACACTGACCGATAAAAGTAAGAAGACAATCTGGAACAATTTTCTACTACACACAGGGCTGTAGCTACCATTGAGGACACTGAGGTCATGTTATTAATATCTTTTTTAGCAATTTCAGGGTTCTAGTGACCTTGAGGGAGTTTATGTTCTACAGTTAAAAACGTACACATGGAGAGTATTTTTGAAGTCCATGCATTTAAATGTGTTTAATTTTTAGCCCAACAAAATGAACAAATGTGCAGCATGGAGAAGGCTTAGAAACAGCTTTTAGACCTTCATTTTTGGTGATAAAACACTAACACTTTATTTTATAAATTGTAATTTCCCAAAAATGTCCTTTCAAGTCTCCTGGAGGGACCCATATAACCTGGTACTCATTGGGAAAGCAGAGACAAAGTTCTGAGATAGTTATTTTAGTTAGAGTTTAGTTGCTTTCAAAGGGGTCTTGCTTTAGCTGTTGCTACAACATAAGTGTTTACTAAGTGGAGATTTACACAATAACAACATAAAACAGGTAAATACTAGTGGTAACATAGAGATTAGTTGTTACAAAATGTGTACACAGACTAAATGACATGTCTAACTAACTGAGCTAACTGGCAAAGCTAACATTAGCCTGCAAATAACGTTTAGGTCAGCGTTATTGTATATTTTACATTTGTTTAAAACTTCCTTAATATCATGAACCCTGACACATACGCATGTATAAAAAGGACCTACATTTACAAAGTATTGGCTGTTGAGTTTAAAATATTGTAGGGCCTCCTTAAACTTATATTTGGAAGTTATATTACAGCTTGCGATGCAACAGTCACATCCTGTTTTGTTATTTTTGATTTGACGGTGTGGAAGATGTTTCATTACTAAAGTCTTTACTAGTTAGCTCAGACATTTCTTAAGTTTTAAGAATTCAGGAACTGCTTCACACACTAAATACTGGATTAACATAAAGCTGGTACAAACCAATCCAGAGGCATTTCATTAAAACCGTATCGTAACTGAATAAATCAAGTACTTTTTGGTGTTGAGGGGAGTAGTGGGTGAGGCAGACTACCACTGATGACCTTAGTATTTCTAAACTCCTGGCTACGGCCCTGACTACTTACCAAATCATGAACTTTTGCAGCAAAATGTGTTTAACATGTGATGCAAAGATCTTAGTCAGATTTGTCTGTTTGGTCACATTTTATGTGCTTAATTATCCACAGGACAAAACCTCATGCTGTAAAACTTGTCCTTCGCCTTCTTGCTATATTAACAACATATTTACAGCTCTTCAGTGTCATATTCATGTTGTTTTTTTACAGTGAAACAGTAGGGTTGCATGAAGGCATGTCAATATTTGTTTCTGGTGTGCATCTCTTTATAGTAGCTCTTATTTTGTGACATTGTTTCTACTGACAGTCTGAATTGCAACTCTGATTTGATATCATTTGTCTTTTACACACATATTTAAAATGCATACATTTCCGAGTCATAGTACAGTGAATCATGCATGATGTGTTCCTTCAGTTTTCACTCCTTGCACAAGTTCAACCAGTGCCAAATTCGTGATTAAACACATTTTAGAGAACTGCGAGTCATTTAACTTGACAAAACCTTTTCAAACTCCTGCCTTCAGTTTGGGTCCTGATGTTATCCGTAGACCTATTTCTTGCTATTCAAAAGTGTCCCTTCCAGAGAATTATACGTGCTTGTTAATATTATTTAATGAAATTTGTGTTGTAAGAAAAATAAATGTTGTTCATGTTGGAGTGCTTGACTTGCTACAGTTCATACATCCCAGAAATCAAATGAATGTCTTCTGAATCTGAAAACTGCAGGTGACACAAGTGATAAAGACAAAAAGAGTGAGAAAATAATTTATTTAGATATTTATTATTTAGAGAAATAAGCTCTGTTTGAGTTTCAGCAGTTGATAATTAGTATGGGTTCTGGGGAAGTGCGGGTGAGTGAGTAAAAGAGGTGAAACAAAGAGTGCATTGTGTGGTGTGTCCATGTTCAGACAATTTCTCTCCAATGTGGGTCAAAGTGAGCAAGAAGCTCAACACAAAATTCAGACCAAATACAAACCTCCATCTTTTCAAAATTGAGGTCTGGCTGAAAAGAGTGAATTCTTAGCTCACACACACTGTGCAGTAAACCTTATTAATAGCAGCTTAATAGTATGATATATGTATATACAATCTAATATTTGTGTGGGTATTTAGTGTGTCTGGTGCTACAACGATAAGCCTAACCTTCAATTAGTTGATGTGCTGAAAAGTAATAGCTCAGAGTAATAATGACAATTAATTGTTTGAGTTTTTTGTCATGTGAAAATATAAATACAATGTTGGTTACAGCTTCTTTGATGTAAAGATGTGCACGCATTCTGTAATGGATCATTTTAAATAACATCGATTTTCAATGTTTTCTGACTGAGTAGGCAAATTCTCCCCACTTTGTCATTATTATTTGCATGTTACTCATTACACAATCAAAAATTGATTGATGAGTTAATTGATAGCCCTTATTTGTGGTACTCAGTACTGCACTGGTACCTTTTTTGACAGAACAATCCTAAGTCAATGTCCACTTACCAGCTCTTTCCAGAGCTTTCAACTGTGTCACGCTTGAAAAAGTGCTGTGTATGAAGATATAATAGTAGACAGTTGAAGGAATTATATCTGCTGATGAAGCCGAAGACCATGTGATATGGGAAGTAACTGGACTGAGTTGGTATTGTTTTACAATTTCCGAGGTCAAAGTGAAGTTTCATCTTTAAATTTATTGCGCAAAACCCTCTTAAATATCCACAACTCTTTTGTGTGCAGGTTACCCATATAAAAGGATTATTCAAGAATCCCTGCATAAATGATTGTAGTACGGTTAAATTGTAGCATTCAGTGTTGTTTCTCTGTGTCATGGATAAGTCTAGACTTGCAGCCTCAACATGACTCTGTATTTGTTCGAACAAAAGAGGATTTCCATACACAATAACACATTTCTTATGTCAGGTCATGCGAAGCAGAGCTGCCTACCAGATTATCGTTTCACATTCATCACGTAAATGTTACATAATTGCCGAAACAAAAGAACCGGTTCAGAATATCAACTGTGTGACCCGCCCGGTTCACCCCGCCCTCCTCCTCCGTCTGTCCCTCACTAGCTGCAGAAAGAAACCAGCCTACCTCTCCTTCTCTCTCCCTAACCGTCCGTGGTTTTACAGCAGCTGCAGGAGTCGCTGACAGACACTTGGTTTTTGAAAGTGACTCAAAATGACAATGAAACTGGCTTACTGGGATATTCGTGGGGTAAGTGAGGTTCAGCCGTCTTCTTCACAGTTTGTATTTAGCGGCATTACGGAAATTTGCATTTTTGTTACATAACTTAGTGTTTTAGGAACAAGTGTTGACGGAGTCTCGCTCGGTAAAACAATAACTGCAAATTAACGTTAGGGCGTGCACGTGCTCAAATTTTATCAAGATCGGTGACGGTAGCAATGACTGTAGCTGCTAAGCTATAACTTGGCTAACCAGTTTTAAATTAGCAGTAATGTTGAGCGTTACGTTAACTAACTGGCGTTCAAGCGGCTTGAGCTGTTCACTATGAAAGAGCAATGCTAACTTACCTGTGGATATAAGTAAAGAGCTGTAGAGTTGGAGGGGAAATATCTTTTAAAAATGGACCTCCAAATGTGCATATAAATGAAGCAACTTAGCTACTTGCAAGTGGCAAAAGAAATGCACTGGGACCGACATGCTTTACTGTGCAGACATTTGTGCACACAAGTTAGTTTCATATTTAACATTGGTGGGTTTTCGCGGCTGTTACCTTCAATAGCTCCGGGTCTAAGCCTCGTTTACTCCTAATTTTTGGGATGGATATAGAAGAGCTTATCATTAACTCAAAGTTACCAAAGATGACGATGCAGTTTAGAAACCGCAAGTCTGTCCAACGCACCTACCTCTGTGGGCGTAGTTGTAAAAGTGCAATCGGACCCATTTCAAACTCTGATAGAAATCTCAACACACCGCCATTAACGTATAAATAGTGTAGTGTTTTGTGAAAATACATTTTAAAAAGTAAAAAGACAACTGAGCAAATCATTGTTATAAGCAGAGGTGGGAGTAAGTCACATAAGTCCAAATCACAAGCCAATCTCAAGTCTTAACCTTACAGTCTCAAGCATGTCACTGTGAAGAAAGTCAAGCAAGTCACAAGTCAAGTCATATAAAATTCGTAGGAATTCAGTTTGTTTAAACAGTTTAAGAGGTGGCAATTCAACTGTGTGATCATTTTGGAAGATACAGTGAGTGTTTCTGTTCTAACTATATTGAACTCTACACAAAGGTGTTTCTCTTATTTAGTCTGCTATTGGCTTCACTGATTATTGTAATGGGGTAGAAAAATATAGAAACATGTGTCACTAACGGTAAGTTCTTACCATTCCTGTAAAATTCGTTTTAAATGGTCAGTCAAGGTATATCCAAAGTTAATTGAATGCAGTTCTTGAACCATTTGGAGCAAATGTATGGTTTTGGGGCTTCTCTGAAAGATAACACTCTGAAGTGTCTAACCCAAAAGTCAAAATCACTGTAAGTGCTACTGGAATTTATTTAATATAAGTTTAAACACACTAAAGTAATATATTTTTTTGTTTCCATGCAGACGACTGTGAGACCACAGCATAAAGCCTTACCTAGTCCAATTTTAAATTTTATACCATGAAAAATGAATATTTTGCACAGGTTTTTCTTTGTCTCGGCATATTTTTTGCAAAAACAACACTGCCCCTTGGCGGCAAGCAGCTGCTGCTGCATCACGCCATAGATTGATGCCGATGTGTTTTTTTGCTGATAGATCATGAACTTCCTACTTAAAGTTGGATATCATTATTTTCAGAATTTTATTGGCTACATGAAGTACCAGTCATCAGCAAAAATTGGTTGCAATTGGCTTGGCTTACCCATGAAATAATAGGGGCTGGCCCTTCCTTACAGCGCGGGCTCTTGTTGGCTATTGTAGGCTGTGAAAGGGACATGTGAGCTCCTATTGGGTTGGATTTGGTGTCACTCGAAAGGTCAGAGTTCAGCGGCTAGTTTGAATACAAGATATCGCATTTGTTTACATCGGAGTTATTACGGTTACAATGACATTAACCACGTTTGCTGGCAAATATGAAACGAAACCATAGCAGTCCCTGGGGATTTATTGATGGAATAATGTGTTTTGGACTAAATGTTTTTACTGGATTGGATTGTGTGGACCTAACACTAGCTTTCTATGCGTTCCACCAGCCTATAAGTTAAGTTAGCTAAAAAGCCGCAGTCACGTAACATACCTTTCTTTATGGCTTCTGTAGAGACAGATGAAGTTGGATGTTGTGGTGGTCGTGTCACTGATTTTTGAGCTGCAAACCTTGCACATCGCTGTTCTTTTCTTCCTACCGTCATCGTCACAACATAATCCTTGAATGTCTGTGTTGTACTGCATGTAACAGTCTTACGGAGATCCGGACCGCTAACGTTAACGTGAGGCACACATGTGTAAACCTCGTGTCTCATGAACACCAATGTGTTAGAAAAGCTGAAATATCATTAACCCCTCTCTGATTCTTTGGACAGCTCGCCCAGCCTATCCGACTGCTGCTGGAGTACACCGGCACTAAGTATGAGGACAAGTTTTATGTCTGTGGTGAAGGTAACTTACCTGTTCAACTAACAGATAAACAGCTGTTATAACTTTAAACAAAGTGGTGTTTCCATGCAACATACCCATTGAATTATCTAACCCACATCTCTCTCACACAGCTCCTAACTATGACAAGAGCTGCTGGTTTGACGAAAAACCCAAACTTGGGATGGACTTTCCTAATGTAAGTGACTTTAACCTTTTGGAAGAGTTTAATGTGTGAATATTAAGTGTAAAGCAGGTGTTTAAAACCTAAACTAATAATAATATTGTGATTTAACATCTCACCATAGCTGCCGTACTTGGAAGATGGAGACAGGAAGATTGTGCAGAGCAATGCTATCATGAGATACATTGCTCGTAAGCACAGTTTGTGTAAGTATTCTGTGTTTATTACACATGTGAATATATTGCTCAAATGAGACATGTTTGTTTGTTTTTTATGTTTCATTGTGAAAATTTCAAAATAAAATATCCACCATTATTTCCCAAATGGGCGTATTTTGTTTTGGAAACTCTTCAAATGAACCACAGTGTTTTCATGTAAACATCAGTGGTTAAGTTTCACAGTCTCTTTTAAGGTGTAGTATCTCAGTCTTTTTTCGTGTGTTTCTCTTATCTGATGTGATCTCAGGTGGAGAGACAGAAGATGAGAAGATCCGTGTGGACATCATGGAGAACCAGACAATGGACTTCAGAAATGGCTTTGTGATGATGTGCTACACTGACCTTGTGAGTACTACATTAAACATTTAATGACAATGAATTTGTCATTTTACACCTTTGAATCTCTGCTAATGCCAACATCACCACCCTGACATCAGGACACCATGAAGCCAGGGTACCTTAAGGCGCTGCCAGAAAAACTGAAGCAGTTCTCAGACTTCTTGGGAGACAGGAAGTGGTTTGCTGGTGACAAGGTAAGTCATCACTAAAACATGGGAGGCTTCATATGTTAGGTACAGTCATTTTTAAAACTGCATTACTCAGGTTTTTTACTGGCTACTAGGGGTCAGAACAACCTGAAAATGACATACCTCTGACCTAATTTCAACTTTTATTAAGTTGATATATTAACGTGTTAGTAGACAATTGCCCGTTTACACAGCCATCACACACAGGGCAATATTAACATTTGGAGTTTGAGAAATTGAACTGGGTCTTGTGCTGTGAGATGCTCTCCTTAGGCCAGGCAAGTAGTGTACAGTAGATTTATTGTTTTCTGCAACAGCTACCTGCTGTTGATTCGTTCTGAAAATGGTTGGGGTTATAAATCACTCAGCTTTATAAACGCATCATAAAGCTGAGTGAGAACTGAGTTGGGTGATGAATCTGTGGGTTTGTCAGTGTACAACCACTTTCACGTTACATGCAACTATTATTAACTAATATAAAACTAATTTGTACAGCTTTAAAGTCTACTTTGAGCCTTTGTTTTGCTTTCAACACATTTAATTATAGATTCACTGAAATGAAAATTCTTGGCCGAAACTGAGAAAAAAACTTTCCCGAAATCTGAAATTTTTCACATTTCTTTTTTTCTTTCCATTGCATAAATTAAATAGTCAAATGTGCTTTTTACTCAGTGGTTCCCACAGAATTTGGACAGACTGGGTGGGTCTATCCATTTACTTTTAATGGACGCATGTAATATGTTTTATACTTTCTGTGAATATAATCCAATTAATCTTATTTCTATCCTGTATAGACGCCTTATTTTGAAAAGCAGACGTTGTCACATGTGTATCCTCACGCTAAATTCGTTCAAATCCAACCCAATTTGATAAATAATGTTGTATGTGGTTCTCGTATCCCGCAACATGAATACTTCACAGCCTCTCTTCAGGTAGGACTCTCATGCAGCAACACTTGTCTTTGTAAAGAGAGAAAATGACAGGATAAAGTTGCTAACCTGCCTGTCAGCTAGCTCTGGTCCGTTTCAGTGGATTTACCACAAAGGCTTGAATGTGTGAGCACTCCAAATGTAGGTGCGGCTAGCTTAATCGCCTTCTCACAAACGAGTTACAGAAAACACTCAAAGCGGGTCAGGCCATAGATGGAGTGAATGTGCTAGGAGACATTTCAGCAGAACAGTGTCTTCAAACAGCGATTTTTGCATCTTTCTCAGACACTTTAAAATGCTTCCATGCTGCTAACATGTCAACGTAATTGTTCGGTAAAATTTATTCGTTTTTTTGAC